TACGTAGTATAGCGTAGTAGAGTTCGTATCCACAGGGAAAGGAATGATTTTCTTTTTATGATACTTAGTAAATGAAAAGGGGGGATTTGGTTTGAGTGATTTAATTTAATTAAGAACTAAGATGAACAACCTATATGAGATTTAATTCAAAGATAAAAAGGACTTGGCATTGCTACTTTCCACTTGTTGATATACTTTAGTCGATCATTGTTATATCTATAACTTATTCCCTCTCGAATACTCAATCGGGGAGTATATCCACTTCATCGAGGATAGTTATTAACAACGACCGTTCATTAATAACCCTTACTATTAATCAAATATAGAACAACGCCGTATACCGATTTAATAGTAGCATTTAATCTTTCTAACTCCTTGATGAAATCAATTGAGATTGATAACCTCAACACAAGCGGTTTCGGTTTAACCAACAAAATTAATCCCTCTTAAGTTTATTAACCACGACCGTGCATTAATAAACCGAAGTTACTTACTTGTGAAACCATCAACGATAAACCATCGGTTCGTTGATCGTTTCTAGTAATAATTAATATATGAAACAAAACTAGTTGATCCTTTAAGTAATGTTCAAAATATTAATATGAAATAAGAGTAGGGATTAATTAATATTCAAGGAAGAATATTATTAAAGAAGATGAATCCTACTATAATTAATATCAAGATGTTAACTAATTGTCATCTTAGCAACACTCCCCAATATTAATATAGAGGAAGAAAATATCATTCTAACTAATGTCGAGATGTTAACTAATTGTCATCTTAGCAACACTCCTCAACATCAATATAGAGATGGTATTAAGGAAAGAACTATTAATTAATATTCAAGGAAAGAAGTTAAGAAAATAACTCACAACTTTAATGATCAACAAGCTTCAAGAGCAACACCAAGAATGGAAGTTTAGCTCCTCATTTGGAGACTAAACATAGCTAGAAAAATATAAAGAAATGATATTCTAAACTGAGCTAAAGAGTATGGAAGAAGGGATTCATTTTTAGAGAAGAAAAAGTGTGTTATTTATAGGTGTTTTTCAACACCTTTGGCCGGGTACCCGACCGGGTCAAGTACTCACCCGACCGGGTCCGGTCAAAATCAGATATTTCTCCACGTTATGGTGATCTTCGGCATGTTAAAGTGTCCGGGTCAAGTCAGACCCGACCGGGTGGGGTAGGGGACCCGACCGGGTGAGTGTAAAATTTGGATATTCTTCACGTTCGGGTGATCTTTGCACACCGGGTTGTCCCCGGTCACTTCTCACCCGACCGGGTGAGGTAGTGGGCCCGACTGGGCCATGCACTTTCTTTGCATTTTCGTTTTTCACTTCTTACCCGACCGGGTCAAGTGTTATACCCGGTCGGGTATTTGCTCCTGGGTAGCCAAATCTTCTTTTTCTTCACTTCAAAATCTTCCTTTCCAACACCACAAATCCTAACTAAACTTTACAACTGACAAATAAAGACTAAAATACAATTACAACTGAAATCACATAAATGTTTACAAACTAAATAAAACGTCAAACAATTAACATAAATCAAACATAAAAACATGTAATTATGCACTACTAATTAGTGTGCATCATGAGAACACATAAATGGGGCGGACCTATTGAGTTGAGAGCTCAAACAATACAAAAAAGAAATAAAAGAGGAGGAGGACCATCTCATGTTTGATTGCAATCAAACACCCTACCCTCTCTTTTTGTGAACAACACGATTAGTTATCATCATTGAGAGATCCTAGAGCCTTATCACAACCTCCATTTGGACTCTTATTTGGGAGGAGTGGATAAGAGCTCACAACACAAAAAGGGGTAGAAAGGATTCTGACCGCAGGGAGAATTTCCAGTGCATTGGTCTTCTTGTTCGACTCATATCTGGAGTTTTACTCATCCAAACAGGGCGTGTGAGGTTCACACTTAAAGCTCTCGAGACGAGGAATCCATAGACGTGCGGTTTGAAAAAAACGGAGCAGTTTAAGGCCTCCAAATCGTGCAAACAAAACGCAACCTCTGAGAATACGTTTTTGTATTCAAAGTAAAGTTGAATCCAAAACCTTCCTCTCTATTGTCTAGACATATAAATGATTGAAGAACTTTTATAAAATGGTTGGAGTGTATAAAATGTTTATAAAGTGACTTCAATTGTTGGAAAGGTTAGATACTAACCTAGACAAAACCTTAAAAGGTTAGGGAACGAATTCGCCGGAAAACACCCGTTCTAGGGACTATTTTCGTGTCTTCGGTTAGGAGTTGAGCTAGCACCTTGAGTGGACGGTTTAACACTCATTTATAAACAAGTAATCAATTCTCAAACTCCCTTGGCGATCATCTCGGAGAGAAGACTTGGTTCGTGCTTCCTCCATTCTGTTTGAAAATTTATAAAACATGCTCATGGATATTTTCACTATAGAGCTTGCGTGCTCATACTTGCCCCGTGTGGCATTTGTTTTTAAACTATGCTTTCCGCTACGTATTGAATCACTTATTATGTATGTTTATGGATGACTTATGTGTGAATGATATTCAAGACGCCTTGTATAATATGGATGTGTTAGACTTGCGGTTGACTATTCGTATTGTACGGTGGGTTGTTGACATGTTCGGATAGGTCCGGGGCATGATATTAAGTTCTTGGGAGAACTATCAAATAAGCCCTCGAACTTTTATAAAAAGTGCAAATAAGCCCTTTTACAGGAGGCTTTGTTCGGCTGTCGCCTTTTGGGGCAGTTTCCGGTGGAATTTTTTGATGAACATTTTCGAGCATCTTCTTCATTAAGTCTAGTTTAATCATACCAAATTTCAGCTAAACATTCAATCGGGAAGGCAGTCAAATGAATTTTTGAAGATAACTGCGCAGTTAGGCAGCGTAGTATAATTCAAAAAATCATTTGACTGCCTTCCCGATTGAATTTTTAGCTGAAATTTGGTATGGATAAACTAGACTTAATGAAGAAGATTCTCAAAAAAAATCATCAAGAAATTCCACCGGAAACCGCCCCAAATGGTGACATCCGTACAAAGTCTCATGTAAAAGAGCTTATTTGCACTTTTTATGAAAGTTCGAGGGCTTATTTGATAGTTCTCCCTAAGTTCTTTAATTTGCCAACTAAGCAAACATCCCCTTCCCAGAGCTATAAGACTTTCATTTATTAGCAACAAAATCCATGAAAGAAGGATGACTTATCCACATATTTGAAATCTAAAGGGTTTAGGACTTAAAACCCCTTATTGGTAAGCTTGACCAACACATGAGAGTGATCTGAAGGGGTTTTATTCAGATGGGTGATTTGAATATGATCAAAAGCATCTAGACAATTATTATTAAATAAAACTCTGTCAAGCCTTCTTCAAAGCCTGTTATTTGCTCTAACACCAGTCCATGTATATTTAGAACCACTAAATGGCAGATCATTAACTTTACAATTTGCAATACAGTTAGAGATCATTATCCCCTTATTTATTTATTCTGGCTTCTGGAACATTCTCAAGGGGGTTAAATTGGTACATTACAAATGGTTTAATCAAGCCTTATTGGCTTGGTAGAAATGGGAACCCTGTTTCACATTTAGGTTATATTGATGACCTACTTATTTTTCTAAATGATGACTAGATTTCTTCTCAACTTTCACAGATTTCTTACCTTATACCAAAAATCATCTGGGCAAGCTATTAACTTCGACAAGAGCTCTTTCATTTGTGGAAAGCATGGTGCATACAGAATTCAGACCATTCATGAATTGCTGGGAATGCAGAAGTCATCTTCACCAATGAAGTACTTGGGGGCCAATCTGCATAAAGGGATAAACAGACAACAGTATTGTCAGAACATCATCCATCAGTTTGATTCGAGACTTACTTCTTGGAAGCAAAAAAAATCTCTCTATGATAGGCAAACTCATTTTGATTAAACATGTTCTTGACAGTGGATATTCTGCCTAATAATAAAGTTAAGGGTATTCTTGAAAAGAAAATTTCCAATTTCTTATGGAGCACTTCTAATAATAGACCTAAATACCATTGGGTCAGTTGGAAAAATATCTAATATCCAAAAGAAGAAGAGGATTAGATATAAGATCACTTTATGATGTTGAAAGAGCTTTTTTTCCTTAAACTTTGGTGGAAATGGATACATACTTAACACTGGTTGCGTTAAGTGTGTATCATGTAACTAGTCTTGTCTAAAAGCAAGAGATACGTCGTCGTTCGGAGTCTCCCGTTCACCTGGACCAGTAACTCCAGTTTGGCGCTCCCCGAATCGCGTACCCTTTTCCTTCGTTGATCGCAAATGGATTTGCTAGCCAGTTATGCCTCTTCAGACGAAGAAGAAGAAGAATCACCGCAAAATCAGAAGCAAAATCCTGCAAATTTCAAACCTTCAAAGCCCTCAACCGAAATCCCTAGCAGACTGCCAGAAAACGATGATGACAAAGACGCCGATTTCTTATCCGTTAATAAACCCTCGTCGACGTTTTCCCTTCCTCCACCCAAATTCTCATCCTCTTTACTTTCATCTCTTCCTGTTCCCAAGTCGTCGAGAGCAGATCCCTTTCACCTTCGTCCCACGCCATGGGCTTCGTCGGAGCCGAAGCTGAAAAAGGTTGTTCAGTTTAGGCCTCCATCGATTTCATCTGGGGTGAACGATAACAGCGTTGGTGAGGATGACGACGAAGAAGAGGATGAAGATGAGAAAGAAAAACGAAGGAAATTGTCTGAATCTACTATGGAGAATCGGTCGGTTAAGAGTTTCTTATCGAGCTTGCCTGCGCCGAAGAGCTCTGGCACTTTGGGTTCCCTGTCCCTTGGTTCTGGAACCGGTAGAAAGTCTATCCTTGAAGCTGATTTGCCTGTTTCAGATTCTAATGGATCGAGTTTGAAGACTGAAGTCGGTATTAATTCAAATATGGGATGTTATGAAAACCAATATGTGCAAGGATCAAATTTGAGCTCTTCAGCAGCTGTTGATGGTGGATTTCAATCAGGAAGTGTGGGTACAGCTGGTGGTGAAGGTGGATATACACAGGCCGAAGATTATAGCAGCTACCAAGGATATACTGGATATGGTGAGCATTCTGGTTGGGTTGGGCATGATGGAGAACAGTATTCAAACTATGCTTCCAGTTATGAAACTTATGGACAATATGAAAATAATTGGGTTGATAGGTCTAATGCTTCTGCACAAGAACTTCCAGAATCTGCTGAAAGTGCATTGAGGGTGACAGGTAAGAGAAGAAAGAATGATGCTCCACCTGAAATAGTTGAGGTTAACCAGGATGAGTTGATGAAGGATCGACCAAGGGAAGATCAATCCAAGCTAACTGGCATTGCTTTTGGGCCCTCATACCAGGTAAACTCTTCTCTTATAAAATTATACATTTATACTTCTTCATTTCCCTAATTCGTAGAAGTGGTTTTGTCTCCTATTGCATATATAATGGACTTTGTAATAAGGTGATATAAGGTATTCAAGATCAAATCTCTGGGTGTGGATCTTTTGGGGAGATTGCTTTGGCTGTTTCTAACATTTATTATGAAAATTGAAAATCACTAGTTTGTGTCTCACAATTAAAAGAAATTAATGCATTGAGTGTATGTGATTCAATCTGCAATTTACAATGGAACCTATATAACTACCGTATGGATGCTCACAAAACCAACCCAGGCATACCTGCTATGTCCCACTTGGAAGTCACTCACAAGTTGGGTCTCTGAGGACGCAAAATATACCGTGGAATCGGCTCACCTTCCGCATGGTGTGCTGATCCCACTTTTACAAGTTACGTTCCTTTTTATTCTTCTCTGGAAACTTCTTCATTCCTTTTTCTTTTGTTATTCTTTCCTTATTTTTCTTTTCTTTAATTCTTCTCCATTTCCATCAAATTAAAATATTAAAAATTTAATTGTAGTTTTACTTTCCTTATCTTCAATTTAAATTATAATTGAATCTATTTTTTAATTCTTTATCAATACATAACAAAAAGTTTAATAATCTAAATAAAATAAGTACATTTCATATTCATACACTATTTTTTGTAATATCTTTTTTACATTCATACATTTTTTGTAATATATTTTTATATGCATACACTTTTTCTATAATATATTTTTTTTATCACTTTTATATGTTTTTAGAGGTTTTTAAGATACTGAGTTTGTTTATTTTGCTTCTAGCTTGGAGTTACATTTGATAATATACGAAGTTACATCATCTTATTCTCCAGTTACAAGTTATTATGCGTGAGTTACATCTTGTTATGTGTGAGTTACATCTTCTTATACACGAGTTACATACTGTTCTCGCGAGTTACATGTAATTATGTGTGAGTTATATCTAATTATTTGTGATTTTTTACTTATCTTTATTTTGAACTAATTCAATTATAACTGAATTAATTTTTTTCTTCACCAATTTAATACAAAATTTTATTAATCCACATAAAATAAGTATATTGTATTTCATATTCATACACTATTTCTTACTTTGTATACTTTTTTTTATATTTATTATAAAAAATAATAAAATATTCCTAAACTCAAAATAAATAAAAAAACGTAACACAAGTATATTGTATTTCATATTCATTCACTTTTTTGTAAAATATTTTTTATATTCATATACTTTTTTCTATAATATATTTCTTATCTCTTTTATATGTTTTTTGTGTTTTATAGTCATTAAGGTTGTTTATTTCGATTTAAATTTGAAAAAAACATGAGAATAATGCATTTTTCGTATGTGTGAGTTATGTTTATAGACTATTTCTATAATTACATTTGATATTATATTGAGTTACATCTTCTTATGCACGATTTACATCTTCTTGTGCGTGAGTTACATCTTTCCATACGCGAGTTACATTTGAGTTTGTCTCAACAAGTTACATTTTGCATACACTAAAGTTAGATTTTCAATCAACGCGGGTTACATTTTCTGTAATATGAATTACATCACAACATAAAGCCTACTATTGCAACAAAAGAATCATTGTTATGCAAAAAAACTGTTTTCCCAAAAAAATGTGTTTTGGCACAAAATATATTTTTAAAAACATTTTTATGGACTTAATATTAAAAAAAATATATTCAACATTTATGTTAACCCCTGCTATTGAATAAAAAAATTACATTTTTTTGCAAAAACAAAATGAGTTTTTGGCCAAAAAAATGATTTTTAATTTGGCAAAAAAAAGGTAAAAAAAAATTATGCCCTTAATATTGAAAACAAAACATATAAACTATTTAAGTAAAGTAATTGAGCAATTAGACTCCTTGTTTTCATTAAAATCAATGTTTTATTTCTTATAATTCGTATTAGACAAGTTACATTTCAACTTGCTTGTTATTACATTTCTTATTAGCGTGAGTTACATTTTGTTACACGCGAGTTACACCTATTACGCTACTGGGACAATGAAAAAACAAAAATGAAGTTACTTTCACGCGCGTGAACAGTAACACGCTTTTTTTCTGTGGGAGCAGCATGCTCACCGTGGGCTGCTCCCACGGTATACGAACTGCTCTGAGGATGGTAAGATGTAGTCAGACTTTATCCCTAGAGCTGATGCTACGTACATTCCCTTCGAATTGAATTAAGACGTGCATCGTCTGGTCAAAGCTCACAAGTCTTGGAATTCTTTCTTTAGCAAATGGAATCCCAAGTCAGACTTGGGTAATGACCTAATTAGGAATCTGATTGCTAATATTAATCAGCTTATTCTACAAAATAAGCTGAATAATCTGAAAAAGTAGCACTTGGCTTTACTTGTTTGGCTAAAATTATTTCTACCAAACTTTTCCTTTCCAAAAATTTGCCAGGTTGAGTCATCTCAGCCAAATAACCCTTACTAAACTGTCACTATATCTTGAAACTGAACTGTATATTTTCCTATATCTGAAACTGTGGAAATTGCTGCTAAAAGCATCTTTTAAGGGGCACTTGTCGATGCACATCTGTTTGGTGCAAAGGTCCATGTAGGTATACATCCTAAGCATTAAAATAGAAATAATGGTCCGATCTGGCATTTTTCATTTGAATTATGGGAAGTTTCATAGGGAGTCAATAGCATGGAAATTTTGTTAGAGCATACAAGTATTTGTTTGTCTATAAGAGCATTAATGTAACTTTTATATTTTTTATGGAATAACGGTATAACAATCACATGACATCACATAAGGTAATGAAATAGAAAAGTTATCCCCAATTAAATGAAGTTTTATTCATGCATTTTGAAAAGCAAGAAGCAATATCAGTGAAACAAGATTGTCCACCAAGTAGCTATTATCATCTTCTTATGGTCATCTGAATTTCTTAAGTCTCAATTTTGACAACGAAAAGTGCTGAATATTAGGGCGCCTAGTAATTACCCATTGTAAACTTTTTTTGTCCAGCCTGCTTCAACAAAAGGTAAGCCTTCAAAACTGCTTAAGAGAAAGCATCAAATCAGTTCCTTGTATTTTGATATGAGACAAAAGGAGTCGGAACTTGCAGAGCGGCGTTCTAGGGGGATGCTGACCAAAGCTCAAACTCAAGGGAAGTATGGATGGTGAAAATGTTGCATTATAATCTTGTACTGGACATCAGAAAAAGTAGTAGTGAAATACCTACCACTTCTTTATATATTTCGCCCCTGTGACTACGTCCTTGTTGAGTTGTTCATGTTTGTTTAACCCATACACATACTTGCAAGATGTGTGTATACTTGATTACATTGGTTTCATATTCCTGCAGTGCTCTGTTTTTTCCATTGCTGTGGGCAAATGCATATATACCAAGTCGTTGTTGCCATTCTTGCAGTGCTTTGTGTTTTCGTTATATCTTTTGATTTCTACTAAATCTGGTCTTGAATGCCTCTAAGTTAGTGATATAGAGGCATCATTCAGATGTATATTATGCCGTGCTATTCCAATTGCTCCAATCCCATGGATTATTGAATTTGTTGAATGTTCTGGAAATAAAAGCTTGCAGTAATATTCTGTTCAGCCAAAAGAAATAAAAGAATAGTTACTTCTTTTGTTTATTTTGATTAACCTGCAGAGAGTAAGCCAAATTAGACTAACAAATAGTGGCTCGACAGCATGTATGATGATTATGGTTGTTTTGAATTCTGTTTTGTTCCGATCTTCACCTCTTTTGTTTTACCCCAGAAGGCAAACCACCAAAATCAGTGGGGCAGATGCCGGGGGTCAACTGCCCCATATTCACCAGAACAGTAGAAAACATTCATTCCCTTCACATTTGACTCACAAACTAGTCGCTGTCTTAGACTAAGTTTTGGTTTTTATTTAAGAATTGGAGATATTGTCTGTTACTCTGTGCTTTCGTGCAATGCTTTACTTCATAACTATCCTTCTTTACTACATCTCTGATCGGTCCCTAAGACGTTTGTTGTTTTACTGATGTATTTGACGAAAATCCATTCTCTTCTCTGATTTATATGTACCAAATTTCATAATTTTTGAATTTGATTGTGGTTGTTTAATAGACATGAATCATACTCCATATTTTGCTGAATCATAATCAATTCGTGCATAGTTGTTTTCTTAACATACTCCATATTTTGTTTAATAGAGTATGGACATGTCTGATTCCCTCATAATCCTGAAGGAGTTGGAAACTTAGCACTTAATAGCATTTATTCCTCCTTGTATATTTGTATTCTTGACAACTTGGTAGATCAAAATAGAGCAAAACTGTAGAGATCGGAGTTAACTTGGGAGTATTGTATATGTTCTTGATCAAAGTCTGAGCCTAATACTAAAAGTTCAAGCTTGTTCTTCATATCTATATCATTTTCATCCTGTAATTCATATATTAGTATTGTTAATAGACAAGTGTAAGTTGTTGTTATTATTATTATAATAATTATTACTATTATTATTAATGTACAAGCACAAGTTAATATTATTTTTTTATCATCAAAACCAACAAATCATATTAAATAAGCAAATTGTTCGACAGCTGGCTTACAACATAATGAGGGATAAAATCATAGGTGACTCTTTGATATGAGATAGTAAAGTGTGCCTTAGCTAAAGCATCAGCAACACGATTCGCATATGGTAAAATTACTCTTCGTTTCTAACACTTTCCTAATATCATCAATGAAAAGATGGAGATAACAGGAACCATCCCGTTTTTAATCCTCTAAACAATAGTGAGTGCATCCGTCTCAAACTCCATGTTGCTCCATCCTTCCTCAACCGCTCCCAAAATCGCATCTCTAAGCCCAGCCGCTTCCACCTTTGTCGCTGACCAATTCGCTGAGCACAACGTTCCTCGAGCCTTTATAAAGGTCACTGTTCTCATGTCGTGCCACCCATCCCCAAGCAGGAATGCCTCCAACTTCATTCACAGCCCCATCAACGTTCACTTTAATACGTACACCCCGTATCAGGGCACCAGGCCTCTTCCACTTCTCCTCCCTAGCCCGGACTATTCAGGCTTAGTCGTACCAACCTGCTGAGCTTCCCTCCAACAAGCTATCATGCTTGCTGCCCGTTGATCACGCTAATCGCTTCATGCTTTTGATCCTTCCATACCGCATTGTTCCTCCTCTTCCATATACTCCATAGCATCGACACAAACCCGCCCTTGCCCTCTTTATCCGGGGATGAGATTCTCTCCCGCAACCATTCATCTATCGGCCGAGCCTCTTCCATTGGAACTCCTGTCTGCTGCCACACCTGACGAACCCAGGGACACTCACTGCGTGGTCCAATGACTCTGATGCCTCGCCACACAACTTGCATCCATTCTGAATCTCCACCCCCTTTTCTTCTCAGGTTATCCACGGTTGGAAGGGTGCCATCCAAGACTTGACATGCAAAAAAATTAAATTTTGGAGGAACTTCAAGCTCCCATGGCTGCTTCCACTTGTACCACCTGTCGGCCTGCATCTCCCCCATTAAAGCATGGTAACAACTCTTAACCGAAAAAACATCACTATTTTCCCCAATCCACCAAAAACCATCTTTCCTATCTTGAGCATTAATAGGAATACTAAGAATTTTTTCTCTATCAATCTCGTTAAATAGAGATAAAATTTTATTTCTATTCCAAACCTTTCATGTGATATGTCGAAGGGCTGCAACGTTCATATCCGTACTCCTCGGTGGACGAGGGGACGAAATCATCCATGTCCCATGCCCAGGTAGCCATGCATCCATCCACACTTGTACCTCCACTCCATTCCCCACACTTCTCCAGATATTATTCCTCAGAATAGATTGTCTCAAAAATACTTCTCCATATAAAGGAAGGATTACTACTCAAGTAAAAAACTGATATTTTCGCATTTTCTAATATTTCAAACAATATTAGAAATATTACGATCAGTTAAAAAACAAGTTCAGAAATTTTCAAATAAAATCTTAAAAATTTCAAATCAGAAAAATCAATGAGATGAATGGAACAACTTCCAATTATGGAACCTGGTAGGAGTTCATACTTCATACCCAGCATGGTTTCAGTCCGGGTCTGTTGATTCTCAGGGCAAAGAACTTACGGGCCACTGTCCGTCCCGCTTATGAAACCAGGTCAGACCCTATGGGGAAGCAGGACATAATACAGGTGTAACAGTTAAAACAACTATGGTGGGGGGCAAAGTGTCCAAAATGCGAAAATTTAGGTGCCCTAAGAATTAGATGAGGTGCAACAAGGGAATCCTTGTAAATATCTCGAGCAGACACTTGTTCAGACAAAATTTGGATAAATCTATAAACTATAAAGAAATGTGTTACAGCAAGCAGTATAAATTAAATTGAATTGTTCATTTTGTTCCCACAAAACCCAAATGAACGTAATGAACGTTAATCCAAGGGCGGGTAAAAAGCAGGTGCATGTTGATATACTCAGCGAGTCTTGGTCTTTATCTGGTCTTGTGAATGAACTGCAGAAGTAATTTTCTTCCAACAACGGACAATAATGATTGTGGGTATCCAGACCCAGAAGGAATTTGCAAACACATAGTACCAGAAGTAATGATACGGGCTTGCAGCAAAATTGTCACCCTCCAAGATTGCTGTTATGAAATACACAGCTGTACCATAGAGCTGACCCAAAGAAATGGCCACCTGGAGTATATACCTGTATGCCTTCCTTGTAGCTATTGCATACCTGCCAAATATCAGAAAAGAGTCACAAAGACCAAGGACATGTAACCACAACTAGCTGCAACTGAATGCTAATGTTGGGATGGGGGGTATCATGTTCAGAGAAAGCAATAAATGACCCAAAAATATAAGATTATATCAGAGGGCATAGTTTCAGATTATATATGGTATTCAATTCAGCTAATGTTTTAACTTCAATACAAATTGGTCCTACATTTTCCATCATTTTCAATGGAGCCAAAGACTCACTATTTTTTGGCTTGGGAATATGATGGAATAAAGCAAAATGGGTTACTAAACTGTCTGCGCTTCTTTGTTATGAAGTAACAGTCAGCCTATGCAATTTTCGACGCAATTTTCACTACGGGTCATTCGGAAACAGTCTCTCAGTGCTTTAGTACTGTAGAAAAATGTAGCATATACATGTTATTTTATTATGTGTACATCCGGAACTGTATAGATAGGAATTAGAGTTGATTTAGGACTCTAACTCTTAGATTAGCTCGCAGTGTAGATAAGAATAGATAGATCCTAATATTTAGGATCTGTAACAAACCTTAGTTTATCTGTAATCTTGTATATATATCATTGCCGGATGGCTCAATAATACATGGAAGATTAATTCTTCAATCCTACATGGTATCAGAGCCTCGGTTTAAACAATGGTAGAAACCAGTGAGGCTGATTCCTCACACACTACTAACCCTAACTCCCAAATTAGCTCTATGACAAATTACCAGTCTCCTATTCATTCATCTATGATAATCACTAGTCATAGATTGAATGGAACAAACTATCTGGAGTGGTCTCAATCTGTCAGACTTGCAATTGATGGGAGGGGAAAGCTGGGTTACATCACAGGAGAAATCCAACCAAAACTACCTGCAGAAGAAGAGAAGGGTACAGTACATGGAGGTCAGAGAATTCACTCATAACAGCTTGGCTTCTCAACTCCATGGAGCCCTTAATTTCCAAACCTCATATGTTTATGAAAACTGCAAAGGAGGTATGGGATTCTATTAAGGAAACTTATTCAGATCTTGAGAACTCTTCTCAAATTTTTGAACTCAAAACCAAACTGTGGCAATCTAAACAAGGAAATAGGGATATTATTTCATACTACAATGAAATGGTATCTCTGTGGCAAGAATTAGATCAATGCTATGATGATGAAGAGTGGGAGAGTGCTAAGGATCTGGCCAGACATAAGAAAAAAGAAGAGAATGATAGGGTCTATATGTTTCTAGCAGGGATCAATAGGGACCTGGATGAAGTTAAAGGGAGGATACTTGGAAAAAAACATCTACCCTCTATCAGGGAGGTATTTTCTGAAATCAGGATGGAGGATAGCAGGAAGAAGGTCATGTACAACACCCCAGTACCTAATGAGGAACCTGGGGAATCTTCAGCTTTGGTGGACAGAAGTGATGACAACAAGAAAAAACCTTGGTGTGATCACTGCAAGAAACTGTGGCACACAAGGGATACATGCTGGAAACTCCATGGAAAACCACCAGGAGCTGGGAAGAAGAAAGTAGAAAGGGCCCTACAAACTACTGTGACTGAGACTCAACAAGAGGCAGGAGTTGAACCTAAACAGCTACCATTCACTCAGGAATGGATAGAGTACCTACTCAAATTCATACCTACCCAGAAAATCTCCAACCAAGAAAACCCTACCTGTTCTTTTGCCCAAAATGGTAAAATAACATCATATTTTTGTTCTGAAAAACCTAAAAACACCTGGGTCATTGACTCAGGTGCAACAGACCACATGACCTACATTCCAAAGTTTTTTTCTTCTTATCAACCTTGTGCAGGAGATAAGAAAGTTAGAGTTGCAGATGGCTCTTTTTCAGCCATAGCAGGGATGGGAAATATTAAAATTTCCTCATCCATTAACCTTTCCAAAGTCTTACATGTTCCTAAACTTTCCTGCAATCTTATCTCTATTAGCAAAATTACTAAAGATCTTCAGTGTTGTGTAAAAAAATTTCCCTCTTATTGCATTTTTCAGGATCTGGCATCAGGGAAGATGATTGGCAGTGCTAGAGAGGAGGATGGCCTCTATACTTTTGATGAAGGAACACAATTGAATAAACAAGGTCAAGAAAAAACTTGTTTGCAAACTGTTTTCTTTCCTTGTAATAATGAAGTGTATTTAATGCACTATAGATTAGGTCACCCAAGTTTTTCCTATCTGAAAATGGTGTTTCCTAAGTTATTCCTTAATAAAAATCCTTCATCATTTCATTGTGATATCACTGATATGTGTGCACTTGCCAAACATCATAGGAGTTCTTACATCCCTCATAGTTACAAACCAGCTAGTCCTTTCACTATTGTACACAGTGATATCTAGGGTGCATCTAGAGTTTCAACTCTGAAAGGAAAAAGGTGGTTTGTAACTATCATAGATGATCACACAAGGGTCACATGGGTGTTTTTACTTGAAGAAAAATCTGAGATTGAAGAGGTGTTCAAACAATTTTACTCAATGATCCAAACTCAATTCAACACTAATATAAAAATTGTGAGAAGTGATAATGGACTTGAGTACTTTTCTAAAAAGTTAAATACTTTTTTTGCTGAAAAAGGGATTATTCATCAAAGTTCCTGTGTAAATACACCTGCTCAGAATGGAATAGCTGAGAGGAAAAATAGACATTTACTTGAAGTCACTCGTGCAATTATGTTTTCTGCTAAAATTCCAAAATATTTATGGGGAGAAGCTGTTTTACATGCTACCTATCTAATTAATAGGATGCCATCAAAAACTCTAGGATTCAAAACTCCTATTGATACTCTTCAAGCTTGTTTTCTTGAAACTAGACTAATTAATTCTCTTCCCATAAAAATTTTTGGGTGCACAGTTTTTATTACCAATCCTGACAGAACTGCAAGTAAATTTGACCCTAGAGGGAAAAAATGAGTTTTCTTAGAACTCTCTTCAACTCAGAGAGGCTATAAATGTTTTGACCCTATAACAAAAAAGATGTTTATAACTATGAACACTGTTTTTGTAGAAGATCAACCTTTTTTTAGTACTCATCTTCAGGGGGAGATTCCTAATGAAGATGGTAATAATGTATCACATATCCATGAAAAACCAGAACCTCTTGACATTAATCTAGATGCACAGTATAATAGACAGTTAGATGCACTAGAAAATAGTCAAGAGTCAAAAGAAAATGAAAAAAATGTTTCTGAAACAAGGAAAGATGATGAACAGCAGACAAGTAAGTTTTTTGGCAAGATTTATGAAAGGAGAGTTCCAAATCACAGAATAGAGGACATCCCTGATCCTGCCACTGTCCATGAATCTGACTCAATGCCAGAAAATGACAAAGGTAATAATTTCAGTGATCTAAATCTACCCATTGCTCTCAGAAAAGAAAAAAGGTCATGTGTTAAATACCCTATCTCAAACTATCTGTCCTATTCTCAGTTATCTACATCATTTGCAGCTTTTACCTCTAGCCTTTCTACTGTTTCTATTCCCTTAACCATACAGGAAGCCCTATCTATACCTGAGTGGAAGAAGGCTGTTTTAGAAGAAATGAATGCCCTTGAAAAGAATCAGACATGTCAGACTGTAGAGGTACCCAAAAACAAACCAAGGGTTGGATGCAAATGGGTGTTTACCCCTAAATTCAAGGCAGATGGTACACTTGAAAGATATAAGGCCAGATTGGTTGCCAAAGGATACACACAAACCTATGGCATAGATTATACAGAAACTTTTGCACCAGTTGCAAAATTAAATACTATAAGGATCCTACTATCTCTAGCTACTAACCTAGACTAGCCTCTTCAACAGTTAGATGTGAAGAATGCTTTCCTAAATGGGAAGCTTGAAGAGGAAGTATACATGAGCCCCCCTCCTGGGTTTGAGGAACAATATGGCTCAAAGGTGTGCAAGCTAGATAAAGCCTTATATGGGCTTAAACAGTCCCCAAGGGCTTGGTTTGAAAGGTTTACTCAATTCACAAAGAAGCAGGGATTCAAGCAAGCCCAAGCAGACCATACACTATTCATGAAATTCTCCATTAAGGGAGAAATTGCAGTACTAATTGTTTATGTGGATGATATAATTCTTACAGGAAACTATTATGAAGAGATTAAAGACCTGAAGAAGAAGCTTGCTCAGGAATTTGAAATCAAAGACCTGGGAGAGTTGAAGTATTTTCTTGGCATGGAGATAGCCAGATCAAAGAAGGGAATTGTGGTTTCCCAAAGGAAGTATGTACTAGACCTACTTCATGAAACAGGTATGAGTGCCTGCAGACCAATAGATACTCCAATTGACCCTAATCAAAAGTTAGGAAATGTCAAGGAAGGAGTACCAGTTAATATTCACCAATATCAAAGATTGGTGGGAAGGTTAATTTATCTGGCACATACAAGGCCAGATATTGCCTTTGCAGTCAGTATGGTTAGTCAGTTCATGCATAATCCATTCCAAGAACATCTAGATGCTACCTACAGGATCCTAAGATATTTGAAAAGCTGTCCAGGGAAAGGATTATTTTTTAAAAGGAATGACAATAGAAGTATAGAAGCCTTTACAGATGCAGATTATGTTGGTTCAATAACTGATAGAAGGTCTACATCTGGGTATTGTACTTATGTATGGGGAATCTGGTGACTTGGAGGAGTGAGAAGCAGAATGTTGCCAGAAGTAGTGCAGAATCAGAATTTAGATCTATGGCTAATGGAATCTGTGAACTACTTTGGATCAAGAGAATGATGACAGAGTTGAATATGGAAATGGATCTACCTATGAAGTTATATTGTGACAATAAAGCAGCCATTAATATTGCTCACAATCCTGTGCTACATGATCGTACTAAACATATTGAGGTGGACAGGCATTTTATCAAAGAGAAGATTGAAGCTGGAATTGTGTGCACACCATTTATATCTACTAAAGAGCAGACAGCTGATATCTTTACAAAGGGGCTGTTTAAACCAGTTTTTGAATTTCTTATAAGCAAGTTGGGAATGTATGATATATACTTACCAACTTGAGGGGGAGTGTAGAAAAATGTAGCATATACATGTTATTTTATTATGTGTACATCCGGAACTGTATAGATAGGAATTAGAGTTGATTTAGGACTCTAACTCTTAGATTAGCTCGCAATGTAGATAAGAATAGATAGATCCTAATATTTAGGATCTGTAACAAACCTTAGTTTATCTGTAATCTTGTATATATATCATTGCCGGATGGCTCAATAATACATGGAAGATTAATTCTTCAATCCTACAAGTACAAGGGTAAGATTGCGTACATCCGACCCCCTTACCCTACCGTAGGTGGAAGCCTTTGCGGCACTGGGGTAATGATGATGATGACAAATTGGTCCTACATCAAAGAGAGTGGGGCTCTAGAGTTGGAATTGCAGATCCAACCCATTATGTGGATGCTAAACAAAAAATTAGAGCTTATCAATTTGGCATAAAGTTCCCAATTGGCTGATATTAAGGCTGAAAGTGAAATAGGCGGAATTGTCTAGAAACATATCAAAAATGTATTTTTTGGGTGATCAAAGGAAATAAAGGAAATCTTATGGGAGTAAAAGTGTGCTAAAAAATTAGTATTTGGTACTGCTTTTTATTATTGTAAGTCAATGTGCTCAAAAAAATAGTATTTGGTAGAAAAATATTATTGTAAGTCAATGTGCTCAAAAAATTAGTATTTGGTAGAAAATATAAACGAAATACTAGAGAACCAGACACCGATATGATTCAGATTGTTCTAGTCTTCTAATGCAGGATACTTGGTAGTAAAACCACTCTTCTAGGTACACTTACACAGCAAGAAGACATGCTGGTCCCTCTAACACTGCTGTGATTCCTTCAACAGAAACAACAGTAGAATCGCGTGCAGCATACCTAGAGTCACCCTTGCTGTACTCTTTCCCTGGCAAACTATAATCATTAGCAAAACTGATAACGATTAAATGAAAGTTCCTCAATCAGTGAGGCGTTGGCAGGTTAGACTTACAAACTTCTGCCAAGTAGATGGGAGTTTTTTTCTTGTAGAAGTCCGGAGAAAAGACAAAGTAACCCTCAAGAAACATGTGAGTAAGGCCTGTGAAACTCCACCAGCACATGAGCAACCTGTCTCCCTTTGACAGTTTGGGGAACCGCCCTAATAAGGGATAACAAGGCAAATAAATGACCAGGTATATTTCACTACAATAATCTATGAATTTATTTATTAACAAATTTTTAAAAATTATCAAGGATTCAAGGGTATATCTTTTTGTGCAAATGAATTGAACCTCGGCGAAAAACATACTACCTCTGTCCTGAGGTTCTCATTGAAAAATGGCACGGTTATTAAGAAAATAATTAAATGAGGTAATTCAAGTATATTTTGAAAAATAGTTTTGATAAGTATATAATATAGTGGGGTCATTGATAATAATTGCGATGTTATAAATGCACTAGTATTATTTTTAATATTTGATGGTTAAATGGCTCCATTTGTTCCTTAAAACTTGATCAAGTTTGACAGGCACAAGAAATAATGAAGTAAAAATTGTGTTGTTGAGATTTGCGCAGATGAGAGAGAATTAATAAGAATCACAAATTCTTTAATAAAAAGGGAAAGTGGCAAAGTTAGTTGAACAACCAAAAAAGAAAAGTTGGAAAGTTTTAAGGAAGTACTACATCCGTTCCACTAACATTGGGACATGACGAATGTGGCACGGTTATTAAGAAAAGTGAATTAATAAAGTAAGAATAAAGAATGATTTAGAGTCACGCAAACTTTACCAAAGTTGGCACGAGACAATCTTAGTGGGATTTCACGAAAAGAAAAAATGGGTCAATCTTAGCGGGACGGAGGGAGTATCATTTAATGTTAATTATTTCCTAAAATGGAAATGAAAACCCTTGGGTGGAACATCAAAGTGAAGACCATAAGTGGGAGTAGTATTTAGAGCTCGTTTGGTAACACTGAAAGTGGCTGAACTGGCTGATTCTGCTGATTTATGAAAAATTATTTTTAAAATATTTGTTATTAATAAATAAAATAAAAAATTATATGAAAAAGTAGCTAAAATGATACTCTTTAGTAACTTCAACCAATACAGCCAGAAAAATAAATTCAACATTACTTTTTCTTATTATTACGCAATTCAGCGCGCATAATCAAAAGTTACGTGTTTGGTGAAAAAGTTACTGATAAGCCTCATAAGCCAAAAAAAGGGGCTACCAAATGAGCTCTTAGTGAATTAGTGAACTAAAATGTTTCATAACTAGAGGAAATGAAAATATTCAATCACTTCTTCCGTTGGATCTAACAAAATAAGGTCAAGGCCAAACTCCAAGGTCATTCATAGCTTTCATTTTTCCCGATTAAAAGATGCAATTCAGTTCAAAATGTGAAAAGGAACTTATTGAAGATGACTGTAGTTAGAAACTAGGGAGCTACCACGCTGTTCATGCTCTTGGTACATACAAAAAAATAGGCAGTTAGTAAAATACATAACAAGAAACAATGCAAAAGGTGGTTGAGGGATTACCAGATAAGGTCCACATGACTGTGAAAACCAGTAGAGAAGCAACTCCATACACACCAACAATGTCTAATTGTGAGAGGAAACAAGGCACAAAACCGGGCAACTTTAGATCTTTGGGAATGTATGGGTGATCTATTTGTGCTTCCATCATCTATACGTGTCTTTGTACCTGCAATTACAAGTGATACAGTATAAGCAACCCCAAGAAAATTTAATACTGTCTACAGACATATGTTTTTATTTTGTCATGATTATTAAGGAACAGTGTGATTTATCACTGGCATAAACAGAACTATCTGATGATCTGTAGAGGTAGGCCCGGAAATTCTATGGGAACACAGCATGATGACTATTGCACTACAATTGAAACAGATCATCTGATTCATTGAGCAGTCATCCCACAGTACGTGACAATGACAAATCTCATCTGATTTAACAAAGTTATTATAAATCTACTCCTTTTAGTAATGGAAATCTGAACTTCTACAAGGATGGTTTCTATATATTCTACAAGGACTATATTAAAGTAAAACCTGAGATCGGACAGTTCAAGGCTTCGTTCGAAGTGATTTTTGATACAGTACCGGCAGAGGCTGGGATGAGTAAGCCTTGGGTTACGTATGTCAGGAGGAAGAGAGATTGATTTTCAGTTAGTTTTATGGAGTCAGCATTTTAATTATTGTATTTTCTTTTATTCGTCCTAGGATTGAGTCAAGAAGTCTTTGCTGAATTCTAGTAGTTAGTTCCTGGCACTTCTCCAACTAACATAGTGGAGTAGTGGGTAGTGGAGTAGTGGGTTTCCTAGGCTAGGATTTACTATTTAATAGAAGGTCTTGTTCTCAGTTGGAATCATCTGAATTCATCATTAATCAAAGAAAGAGTCGTAGGACTGTCTTCCTGCAAATTATGCCTCCTTGCTAGATTCTGGCATTGAGTGGTCTATCATTTTGGTATCAAAGCTTTTCGATCCATTATGGTGCAAACTCGCAATTCCGCCAATTCACAAGATCCAAATCCTCCGCCCCCACCACCTCCTCCTACCCAGCCCCCGTCCATCCTTGAAATTGCGCAGCAGCTGGCTTCCCTTGCCTCTAAACTGGAGGTCTTGGATTCGGTTGTTGCCAAAGTAGCCATCTTGGAGGCGAATTCTCAGCCCCAAGGATCCAATTACAATCACGACGGTAACCCCGAGAGCTCACATCACAGAGGGCAGAGGGTGAGGTCAGCTGCCAATCAGTACGAGGGCATTCATCGGGACCATGCTCGGTCGCCTCATACACCCAGGCCTGAGCGCACTCCTTACCGTTCTCGGGACAACTACGATGACGACGATGAGGGTCGCCGGAGTTATCAAACTGGCCAACGTCCTCGGGCTCGCATCGACTTCCCGAAGTTTGACGGTGGTGATCCCCGAGGCTGGATACTCAGAGCGGAAAAATACTTTCGCTACTACGATGTAGCGGATGACATGAAGGTCGAAGTCGCCACGGTGTACTTAGAAGGCGACGCCCTGGATCTCTACGCTTGGGTCAACGGCAAGAGGGAGATCCTAGTGTGGGAAGATTTGATCCATGTATTTCAAGAACACTATGGTCCTCCAGATTTCCAGATCCCCGATGAATCTCTATGCTCCATCACACAGACTGGTACGGTTACTGAATACCGTATGGAGTTCGCAAGGCGTGCAGCTAGGGTGAGGGACTGGCCGGAATCCGCACTTCTGGGAGCCTTCGTCTCAGGACTGAAAGAAGAATTGAAGGCTGAGGTCAGAATTCATTCACCAAGATCGGTATTTAGGGCTGCCTCTCTAGCCCTTGAATTTGAGTCCAAATTGGGCTCCGTCCAAAATACCAAACCTACCCAGCCCACTAACAGGCCCAACTATAGCAAACTTCCACAACCTTTTCCACGTCCAACTACGAACCCAAATCTGACCACCGCCCCAACCACTCGGCTTTCTGACGCTGAAAGACAAACACGAAGGGAGAAGGGACTTTGTTTCCGTTGTGGAGAAAAGTTCACCCCTGGCCATCAGTGCAAAACCTCATTTTCTCAATTGGAGTTTACAGATGACAATGAGCAGAGTGTGGACGAGGCCAGCGACGAATGGGCCGCTCAGGAAGACGACGGAAAAGTTGAAATTTCGTTCCATCAAATCTCCGGTCAAAACGCTACAGCCACAATGCGATTAAAGGGAACCATTAAAGGGAAGACAGTCCTACGACTCTTTCTTTGATTAATGATGAATTCAGATGATTCCAACTGAGAACAAGACCTTCTATTAAATAGTAAATCCTAGCCTAGGAAACCCACTACTCCACTACCCACTACTCCACTATGTTAGTTGGAGAAGTGCCAGGCTAGGAAACCCACTACTCCACTACCCACTACTCCACTATGTTAGTTGGAGAAGTGCCAGGAACTAACTACTAGAATTCAGCAAAGACTTCTTGACTCAATCCTAGGACGAATAAAAGAAAATACAATAATTAAAATGCTGACTCCATAAAACTAACTGAAAATCAATCTCTCTTCCTCCTGACATACGTAACCCAAGGCTTACTCATCCCAGCCTCTGCCGGTGCTGGAGAGGGTTGAAATGTAGCTTAGGTGGGCGGCAGATAAGAAACGATAATTGCAGCGAATTTATTGCCTAATGGAGGCGATGGCCACAGGAAAGCGTTACAGCAAAGATGTGCAGAAGGAGAAAGTGGGTTGACTGACAAGCTTATCTTGTTTATGGGATAAACTTCCCCAGTGCATTCCCTGTGTACATGATTGTGTATGTATACTTTTGGGAATAAAATTTAAATGAATTTAATACTTAAATGGAAGTATATTTTTCGGTGTGTTCCAGATTTACCCCTAGTGTCTGTCTCTCTTTACCAATTCCTTCCGGACTTCCCGGCCCTGAAAATTAAAGCAAAATCTGAGAACTGAGAGGGAGTGAGAGCAAATCTGAAGTGAGCCGATGATGAAAGAGACAATGGACAGCGAAGACGAGGTACAGGGCCGCGCCGGCGAAGATCTCACAATCTCTTTTCCTTTTCTTCCGTCGCTGGCTCGCTGCTCGTTTATCTCTGTTCTTTTCTACCGTCACTTTCCATCCTCATCTTCCCGAGAGAATCTCGATCAAGATGGGGATAGATGATATATTTGTCCCTTCCTATGAAAGCTATAGGGGACAGTTTTACATATACCGTACCCGCCCCGTTTGGTAATTCCCCCGCCCCATAACCGTCCCATTACCCAACGGGTAATTTTTACCTAAACCATAACCGCCCCAACGGGTAACGGGTATAAATCGCGGGTATTTTAATATAAAAATAATGTTTTAAAAGGCAAAAAAGGGCATCACCTAGACGACTCTAGACTCAAACGTCACTTTAAAGTTTCGCATATCTACAAGAAGAGAAAGAAGACAACCTAAATGAGTTTGAATCTAAAAATACTTAATCTGAAAAATAATTAATCTCGAAATAATCTGATAATAATCAAACAAGACTATTAAGATCTATTATGAACTTTCCTTCGTACACTAGAGTTGGTACATTTGTCATTGATGTATACACAAAGAAAATAGAAAATTCCCATCTTTTAGTTGTGGGAACACTAATAGATGAGAATGTAATAAAAATATAACTAAAAATAAACGGGGCGGGTAATGGGGCGGACATGTATAAAACCGTAACCGCCCCGTTACCCGTAAAAACAAAATGGGTATTCCCCGCCCCATACCCGTTACCCGGTCAATGCGGTTTTCCCCGGTTTGACCGGGGCGGTTCGGTGCGGGTATCCACTGGATCGGTTACAATTGACATCTCTACTCCTACTCCCTTCATATATTTTACTCTCTTGGTTTCTAAATAAACTTCCAACTTTCTTTTTTCGTCCGTTCCAATTAAAACTTCCACAACTCTCCGCCACACAATACCCACTATCTTAAACTGTGTGACAAAACTATTTGGAAGTTTTAATAGGAACGGAGGGAGTATCAGAGTATGTCTTTTTCCATACACTTTTTGTGTACATCTAATTTGTTCTTTTTCATTCTTTCTCAATTCTCAATGATTAGTGATAATATCCAACCAAAGCGATCAGTTTTCCCTTCTACAGTGTAAGTTACAGGGCCGTCTAATGAATTTGGAGGTCCCGGTTCTAAATGTAAATTAAGGCCCACATTAATATGAAAAGTTAAAAAAATCTCAATCTAAATACGTAGACTAAAATCAATTGAATACACGTTAAAAGAGAACCAAAAGAGTGAAAGGACCAACGAAAAAAATGATGGAGTATGACTGAAATCAATTGAATACACGTTAAAACAATGTAGTATTATCATCAATATAGTTTAGTAGAACACTTGTATTAATGTTTATGCTATTACTTGCATCTGACAATTATTATATGATTTTTCTGGCTACATGAAATTCATAGAATAATTAAATCTTCGAGTTATATGCATATATTGCTCCATTCATCTCTGAATGACACTGGATGGAGGTAATATGACTCTGTATAGTACCCTTAGTTGCAAACTAGGAACTTATTTAATGAAATAAGTGATGAATTATTTTAGAGCTTGGAAATTGGTTAAAACTGCTATCACTAGTGGGTGTTCAACGTTGTGCCTAAACTAGAATTAGTTTTTGTGATGAGTCGGTTATATCAACGTTGACACATATTTTTTATTTCTCCTCCAAGATTGTCCTTCCTCATTTTAGGAACTCTTACGGAAGAAGCATATTGTCATGAAAGATTTACATCTCATAACAGAGTACTAAATTTAAGTTGGTATAGAAAAATTATTAGTTGGCTTTCATACATATTAGAGTTTGAACTTGTAGATATAAGTAATTCCTGCCTGAGCCATGGTTCATTTTATTTACGATTCCTAAATGCAATACATGATTTTGTTCTCATATAGGCAAGAGTTTTGGCCGGAGATGTAACTGATATTGTCCTTCTCAAAGGAACAAATAAGGACATCCTTACGTTTTGTTATTTTACTTTTTTGAAAATATTGATTTTTGTTTTTATTATTATTTTAAGACTACTTACTTGACAAGTAGCATAAATACTTTACTTTCATGCTATGCATATTGACAAGTAGTCTAAATATCACCATAATTTCTAATTATGCATCATTTCATTACAAAGTGTAGTTTGGACTGTCATTCTTGAACAGTAGGATGCGGTATATTGTTATTATAATTAAATTAAGTACGATTTGCTCCATGTTGACAACGTGATACTTTTTTTATTTGTAGTGATTCCACAGCTGATGCCATTCTTGTTGTAAGAGCTTGATCAAACACAAATTCGTTGGGCATCATTTTCCCTATAAATGGCACATTCCTTCAAGGCACGGGATGAACATTTTCAATCAAGTTTCAAGTTAAAAGGAATGACATATTATAACTCGTTGAATTTGGATAATAATGAATAGCTATTTTAATTGTTGAACTTGTAATGTATTTGAACTTGTATGCAAGTATTGTGAAACTGTGGAGTGTTGCGTTAGTATTGATTTAGTGTTTTTAAATAAAATGGTGCACAGCTCTGCTAAAGTTATTTGTATGGTTCTGTATGAGATGTGATAAGGGAAGTATCAGTTGCAGGATTTAAAAGAAAATCGAACTTTTCACATCAGTTATTTAAACACCCATATTGGACCCCCCTGTTATTTCTACTAGCCCATCTACATCGGTTGTGAATTACATGATGTCGTTCTTTTTACATCGGTTAAAACCGATGTCGTATGTGCTTTCTACTGGCCGTTTGACAACTTTTCTACATCGGTTGTAAAAACAACCGATGTAGAAAGAATTTCCACATCGGTTCATTGACCGGTGTGAAAAGTCTCTACTTTTCACATGGACTGGAACCACATCGGCTATTTGACCGATGTGAAACGTTTTTTTTGACCGATGTGAAAAGCCTTTTTTGTACTAGTGAACTAATATTTAGCACATAGTTCTTATTTATACATAGTCACGAATTTAAATATTACCTGCTTCGACAAAACCAAATAACTTGTTTTCCTTCAGATCCTTGATGAGAAGTTCGAGTTTCAGCTTAGAAACCCTGGAAAGGATATCCGGTCGGTCATTTGGATCCAATCCCTTGTCATGAACATAGCGAATAATCTCCGGCCATTTCGGATTACATGTAAATGTGATGAATAGTTGTGGGTACCCCGCCTATTTACATATAACCATTGCATCTTGGTAATTTTGCAACATATAGCGTGCAGTACCTGTGCCACAAAAAAGAAGGATTGTTACAACATGTTCTTTTTTGGATTTCAATTTGATGGATTGCACAAATTACAAAAGAAGGGAATGATAATTTTATGTTTGCTTCTGTAGGACTGTTTGTCACTATGAATTATTTCAAAAAAACGTGCACTACTTGTGAAGGAATTCGGCAAAACAATTAGTTGGCCGACTCTAGATGCATTTGTTTCTCCCCTTCCAGCAGCATCTGCTAAGCCACCATATAAGTCACTTCTTAACTGTTTCTGGTGGAGACGGATGTACTGCAATCGTGATGATTCAACCATTGTATACCCATCAACAATGAGCTGTTGCAATCGAAGACTGTTGAAACGGTCTCCGACTATCCTTTCGCCGGTTGGATTTCTGGAAACACATGTAGCAGGACGGAAGGCACCGAGTCATATACAAATAAGTGAACGATAAATATAGAAAAAGAAGAATTTCAAAATACCTTATCTACTCGTGAAACAAGATATTGTTTCAACTTTCAAACCAAAGTTGAAACAATCAGGTTCAAACTTACCGTTGAACTTGAAGTTTTCAGTTTAAGTACTAAAGTGTCAGACATTAATATACAACCTTGTTGAACTTTAAACATACAAAAAGTTTTATCAAACACTTGCACAACAAAATTGACATATTGCAACACCTCAAAAGTGTTACATTAATTAGTTAAAGTGTTACCGAAGGCCATCGCAACACTTTTAGGTGTGTTACTTCAGGTCTCGTTGCATAAGGTCATATGTAACACTTTTTTTTTCATTTTATGCGACATTGAAACATACAACTTACACTTGAACTTGAAATATACAAACTTACAGTTCAACCAGGTTAAAGCATTTTATCAAACATCTCATGTACAATGTCATTTTAGGTCATAATATATACAAAAAAAATACATAACTAGATACTTGGGTACCACTATAACGTAGGTGGCTGAAATTCAAATTCATTAGGTTAACAAATAACAACCCAGTGACTGAAATCCAAGCTAAAAGCATGTCAGTTGATCTACTTTCAACCGTTTAAACCATTCAAGACTTGTTTTTTTATTGCACAGTGCCACAAACTGTAAGCACACACATAATACACCATCAATAAACTTACCGGAAAATTCGTGACTAGCTCAAACTGTGGCCGGAAATCCTTGGCGGCGCCACTGGATGACTCCATCGACGCCATCCGACCTGGAATTAGAGCCTGTGCTCAGCAACTTTAAGCTACAGTCGCGGCTAGTCGTTGGTCCAAATCTGGTCCTTGGGTTCGTCTATAGGTTTAACGTAGGTATCATATAGGTTTAACGGGTTCAGATTGGATCGGTTATAACCGATCTAGAATGAGGCACGTTTTTTCAGTTTTTCACTCTTCTAAATCGTGTTTAAGCTATGTAAACTAAACTTTCATTAATTCAAAAAATGACCCCGTTTTATTTTTTTACTTCGGTTCTACATAAAACCGATGTAGAATATTTAATAAAATTATAAAACAACCCCATTTTACTATTTAACATTGGGTATATCGACAAGCCATGTGAAAAAGTTTATAAAAATTATAAAAAAGACCCCATGTCAGTATTCCACATGGGTTTTAAGATGACACATGTACACAAGGTGATGTAAGAGGTCTTTTTTGTACTAGTGGTTCAATTTCTGTTATCTTCATGAAATATAAAGTAATTAAAAAAGGTTTAAAATGACAAACCTTCCTAATGATTGTAGACCAATGTGAAAAAAATTAGATATATATTTTGGGATACATGCCATCTTAATAAATACGCAATATATTTAAGGGGATACTTGGGTTAGTCCGGACTGACAAGAGCTGTCGTCGGGTCAAGCCTGTCAGAGGGTCTTTCCAGTCGATTTTTTTGATGAAAGTTTGTGAGCA